GCGATGACGATATATGTATGAAGAAACGGTCATCCATGCCTCTTTCTAGTTGTCCGGTTTTTATTAGACTATATGCTTTTATTTAGATGTTTTCTTAACTGTAAGGATTTATATACATACAAATAGATTTATGGTTTACATATTGTATTACTAGTAACTAAATATATATATATACCTATATTGTATATATCTAGTTCGGATAACCTTCTCAATCTCGAGAATCCTTTGTTTGCTATTAAGATTGATAGTAATTGATATGAATGCGTCACATTAATTTCTTTCTTTTAACGTCATACCATGCAATCACACTTGAATATAGTTAGTTGGTATCCTATTACCCTACAATAAAACAGTGTATCAAACTCTCCATTAAATTACCGTTTATACATGTGATTGTACTATCATTAACTGATATGACTTCGTTTTCCTAGTCGACTCCAGCGAACGTCGCTAGTAACAAAGTCGTAAGGAGATCTATTAATACTAAAAGGATTTACCAAAATGTCTGGTCTCTTATAACGTTTCGTACTTATTCGACGCCCTTACGACGCGTCGTGTCTGTTTAATGAGTTTCAGACAGCTGTGTTTTATTAGCCTATTAAAGCATCGAGTAGTTTTATGTAAATAACAAACACGTTTTGGTTTTAACAGCGCTAAATACATTTAACACGTCCGTGCCACTAATCATAAGTTTTTGTCCATTAATGAAGATTAATTGTCATCAAGTACATTTGAGTTTTTATTGCATCTCCAACTTTTTTATGGGTTCGGTAGTTCCTCTGTATGTTAATGAATCAAAATGAAAACAGCAGTATAAGGTAAAAAATCGCATACGTAAAAGAAAAATGTGTGATAAAGATACTCTAAAAGAAGGTTTATCGTGTAATACTGAAGTCAGGTCCACATTTTAGCAAAGACTTGTAAGGAGTTGAAAACTTCAAATAACTTTTTATCTAAACTTCCGTCTTTCGAAAAGGCAAGTAACATTTTAGTGACTCTCTTTTCTACGAGTGTGATTAAACTTTCCACTAGACTTGAAATTTAAATAAGGCGGTGCTCATTTCTGCTGGCCTAATTTGTGAAAATGCCCGAGGATTGCTGACGTAAAGGTGATGCTAGCTAAGCGAACAAAGAGAACTCTCGGCTTAGGCTCGGAGCAGCAATTACGAACACCGTCTTACCGGTACTTGCTTTAGAAAGCTTGTAATTTAACTCAAAAGATAAGATTTTTATACCATTGACATTTATCTCTTTGAATTTGCGTCACCAATGTGTTTTACTTCAATGCAGCTGTAAAATTGGAACAGGAAACTTGCAACTATTAGAATTAAACTATCTCTACGTCCTTATTTTATATTCATTAATTTTTAGGCTACTAGCTTGGTGATGAGTGACGACGACTAAACCTAATATACACTATTGGTCTACTAATTGTAACTTCGACTTTCAGTGGCATGCAACAATAAAGTTTCGTTTTTAGGATTATACGGTATCACGCTTACCTCATGCTTTATTCCTCTAACGGCCGTTTTCCATAACCTATCTATCTGTAGATTTGATAGAATTCTGACGTAAGTATTATGGAGCTCATGTCAAATACCTATCGCTTGTAACCAAATCTACATATAGATAGATAGAATATTGAAACCGGCCGTAAATAAGCTGGAAATGTGGATAACATTATACGTCTCTATCCAACTCATCTAATTTGTCTTGTGGGCTCATCCTCCTTACACACCACAGCTGTTATAAATCGGTGGGCTCCAGTAATCGCTTAAAAGCAGGTGAATGGCCATCTTCTTTGACTTCTTCTCACAAAAAATAAAACATGATTAGAATAAAGACCCCGTCTTTTAGGAGCCTGGTTTACATTTAAAAAAACAATTCCGATACAGAGAAAACATATCCTTTATTAGATTTTTTTTACTTTGATACAAGTCAAATATTTACCATTCGTTTTGAGTCATTATAAACACAAGAAGTGGAACGATATGTCACGGACGTTCGACTAAGCCTTACTTCAGCTGTAATTATAATCTCATTTGGGACTTGTGAATGGCTCGCATTTTGATACCGTGGAACATTAATAATGCTTAAATTGGAATTGTTCAGGCCTGCACCAGAGTTTGAAGTAAATGTTACATCTAGTCGACTTTTCTCATCACAATTTCAAGGCGGACGATTTTAAATTAGTTACTCGACCAGCATTCGTTCAAATCACAACGTTAGTACATTAAAGCGAATGTGCCTTTCTAGTTGTGTAAAAAGATCAGGTCTAGGGCAACAATAACCTTTGAAATGAAATGTCATTTAATATTCAAATGGCAATAACGTGTAAAAAAAAAGAACCTTTGAGACGCCCGGTCAACATATATCCCAGTCACGCAAGCTTTTGATGCTTATTTTTTTATCATGACGCCGTTTATTGTACACCATGGACTATATAAAATTCTATTAACAGGTACGCTTCTATACTAATTAAAAATACTAAAACGGTATAATTTTTGTACTAGTCGCAATTTACTACCAATCTCAAATTCAACTCCAAGGGTTCTGACACATATTTCAGTGAAATAAACTTATTCAAAGCATTTAATTCCTATTTAAACCAGTTGATTGTCATAATTTATTTGCACGACTGTATATGGTAGGTTATTTTTCTTACTTTACAGTTTTACACTACATATATCAGCTGTGAGTCTGTGAGGGTGAAATCAATTTCCATAGGGCAACGTTTCTGTGGTTACCAACTGAATTGTTTTTGTGTCCTCAACTATTTCGACGCAGTATTTTCAGTAAAATAATAAATACTCCTGTTTTCATTTTTGGATGTAAAAGATCGATTGGACTTTTGTTTTTATGTACACTAAATATATGGAACAAACACACCCATCTATCGTTTTATTAAGATTAGTCAAATTTAATTTACCTAATTGCTTTGCATATCTCCTTTTAACAGATACAGGATTTCTTGTATATTTGCAATTTTTCTTATTAAAATATGTCTATTTATTATATTATATTATTTTCTTATTATAATATTTATGTACCCTCACACCACCAATCATGGAGTAAATAAGACCTTAAACTATTCGTAATTTAATTGATTTCGTTACTTTGGTGTATATATTAAATTGGAACAAATACATTTTTTAAAGTTAAGTTCAAAATTGAAAACTTTTATTCTAGATAAATGACAAAACCGATGGCGCCATGCTATAAAACGAGTTTTTAACTATACAATAGAAACATTAAACGAATGCTCTCTGTAAAATAATGTTATAGCTGCATAATGTTAAACGCAAAGCTAAGAAGGTCACTGCCGATCGCAACGCTCGGCACAAAGTGTTCATTAAGAACAATGGGCGCGATTAAAAGCAAACGCCACCGAGCCCCAACGCTGCTGACCCCTTTGACGAAGTGGGCAACACTTCTGCACGCGTAAACTATTCATGGGTCGGCTCTACTTGTGCATTTATTGCTCGCAATATGAATACTAATTTCTCACCCGAACGTCTAAGACCGATTACCGTTATTAAATTAAATTATAATTGGAAAAATTTAATTTGGTTTGTTATTGTTTATTTTTTTTAATTATTTTATTTACGTACTCAATATTTCGATATTCGAGCACGTCAGATTTTCTAAGGTATTAAGTGAACACAAATCCTCATTCAATAATCTGACATTTTCGATGTTACGCAAACTCACGGCCATTATTATAATGTGCAAAAAAACGCCATTTTGAAATACTCTAGCGCGTCAGATTAAGATATACCTATATGGTTCATCTTTATGTCCTAGACGTGCTGCCTCATAATCTGACGATAATCGTCAGATTACGAGATTATTATCTAGAGGGATTCGCCTAATCTGACAAAAAAATGTCAGATTTAATTTAATGATTGAATTTAATTCATTGAAACAGTCAGGAAATAGCATGCAAATGAAAAAGTGTATGTTTTTTTTTAAGTAGAATACGTGTATTTATAAGAAACTAATTAAAAAAAATGCTAAAATTTCATTTTTTCATAATTAATTCATTAATTAATTATCATGGCAACAGAAACCAGAGTGGGGACGGAGTGAGAGAGTAATGATAGAGGAATAGAAACGCGGAGAGGGGAATGTAGGCATCACGCAGCTGCACGCATTAAACTTTATCGACGAATTTTTGTTACTTAAAAATATACAATCTGACGATTTCCACTGGGTTGTGGAAATCGTCAGATTATATATTTTTCCTTATCCTTGAATTATTTCCTTTAAAATAAAAAAAATTGAGCCACGCTCGAGAATGTCGAGATGACGTTTTTTTTTTACAACTTTGTAGCCCTCCCCTTCTTTAAGTCACTCTCAAATTGTCAGATTAGTGGAATATACACTTTTTAGCATGTAATTAACTCACCTTATCTTAATCTGACGCGCTCGAGAATTTCTGATGATCAATTTTTTTTACTAATCTGATTCTTTATCCTTGACGGGCGGCCTTATAATGGGGCTCATATTTGGTGGAGGTACTTAACGAGTACAAGGTATCACCCTGTATGTTAATTTGCCGCGCTCGAGTAAATCCCGAAATATAAGTTTAGTGTTGAAATCTAAAAATTACCGTAGTAAAAATACGAGAATTGTTACCTAAGAATCAAAACTTGACATATGCACCTATCTACATCGAGTTTTATTATGGTCGAGTTGAACAATTTCGAGGGGGCCTTGATGAATTGCCGGCTGGGGCGACAGATGCTCGAGAGCTCTTTTCAATGGCTCGTGGATCCAATTGTGAACGGCTCTGAATCGATTCACCAGGAAAAATATGGCTGCAATTATAACAATGCAAGGTTATAACCAAGGGGGCGATCTCATCATGAACTCCTTTTTGATATTTATAAAAAACAGTTATCGTTTGAGTCTGTAGGTGTGAATGTGCCAGAAGACAAAGTACCGTAATATTTACAATAAAGTAGAATTAACTATATAAAATAATATCTTTGTTTCAGACACTAGATTTCGACCGGGAGGGCCTCACCAAATTGAAGAAGGCCATCAAAGCCATACACAATTCCGGAAATGGTAAGATTTCTTTTTAATACTGAAGTTGAACCGCGTCGGGTTGCGTACTACATCCCTACATAGTACAAACTTTTCTGTTACTGGGTACTTGTTAACTCTGCAGCACAGGAAGAGTCTCCTCCCTGGTGCACTTAATATTATCATACCCTTTAAAAGATATATATTTTCGTTTGACTCTTTGTTTTAATACAAGCAGCAGCAATTAAATTAAAAAATAAAACAAATTTTCCACTGCTAAACAGTCAAGGCACGGTAAACTTCAGTTGGCCGTTTTTGTAATAACTTCAAAGTGACATTTGAGATCCATTTTCATTTGTGACACAGTAATCCTAGCTCGGTAGTGTCAAAACGAATTCGGTATATTCCCCCCGACCGGCTAATGCGACTGACTTCCTTTCTCGGCGGTGTCGGCGCTATTTTAAAATATTCCGACATACCAACCGTTCCGTCGCGCTGCGGATATAAACGGAGAACGTGGCCGGTTACCATAGCCGGCTCCAGTAATCCAGACGACATGAGACCCGCGTATTAATAGGCCCGGTAGGAAGTGTTATGAATAGACGCGACTGAAAATAGCTTGGGCCATCGATGCACTTTATCCCTCCGATGAGGACGGGCTACGCTACGGAAACGCGACGAGGGATTTATCGATTTGCTCTTGCAGCGAGCGCGGTCGTTCCAATAGCAAGCAGCTCCTGATTATGAACCTTTTCGATGTTGCGGGCACTTATAAATACTGCGAAATGTTTGTAGCGTTGGTAAAATATAAACACGAAGCTGTTTTTGCATTGTGCCTTAGCAAGGATTAATTTTTTACGATATTAGAAGACGTGCAATTAGTAGAATCGTGGCGGAAAGTCTGGCGGATTTCGCCGAGATGAAAATATGATTAGATAAATTAATGACAGGCTTCGTACCTCGTTCGTAATCAGTACTGGTAAAGACTCTTACTTGTATTCCGGTAGCATTACCTACTTACCGTTAAAATTAGTGATAAAAAAATTGCTTGGTTAGGAAATAAAATAATTTCGTTGATAAATGTCGAATATTTGGCAATGAGCTATTGTACTAATAGAACTCTTAAAAGAACTCTTTCCTTAATGTAAAGCGAGAATTCATAAGTAATGTAAATAAACATACAGGCAGCACGTTGATCCTTATAAAACCCTCATTCTATTTGTGTAACCGGTTGTCAAGACGAAAGGCCGTTCGACCACTGAACTAGAATGACCTGAATATCGCAACAATAGTGCTCTAGACTAGGCTACACCCATTTATGTGCAGTCTGTAGAGCTGTCGACGTTTTTTAATTTTCACGTAAGAATACGCTCCATTGATTCCTAACTGATTATCGATGGTCAAACTTAACGAGTTAATGTTTCAAATTTTTTTCCTGATTCTATGACGTGGCTCTATATGTATTAAAATAAAATTACACGAGTTTACATAACCAAAATTTTACGGTACGGCAGATGACTTCAATCACGGTTTGAAATCAAATTGGGTTAGTCTAGTTATAGCATTAGTAAAATTCGAATAGGTCTCACACGGTTGTTTTAATTATTGCGCTGTTTTCGTAAATTGTTGCGAAATTATTGCACCCTCGCCGATTTGTATATTAAGTTTGTCGCAATTTGGTTGGTATCTACAATTTTAAAAATTTGTCTGAGGACATTGCCGGACTGGAATAAAAACAGGAAGTTCAGAAACTCGGTGCCTGTGTTCACATTAACGGTGATAAAAGAACTCCGTAATTAATCGAATTTTTATATGAGGCTGATGAAGTAACTAGGCGGAAAGAAACTTGTCGAAGTATAAATACACTGGATAACAAATGAAGTCCAGTACGTGTAAATTCAAGTAGGTACAGTCGTATGGTTTATGTCGATTTTACAAAATGTCGGAACGTATCGTTGCGTTGCGTTTGGCAGCTTTCTACTCGAGTTTATCAACGAAACAGTGATTTACTCTCGCCGGAGCTGAATGAGGCGGGTGATAAAAAGCAATTTCTCGTCCGTCCGCCGTCCACTTCCATGCGATTCCTTCGTTTCCTTTTTTCGATTTAATCGCACTGACGCTACTTTGCCGTTCCGTTGTATAAATAAACCTTATCGCGCGTGGTTCGCATAGTACCTACTTACGCATCGATTGACGGCTCTATGCGTATGTTAAAAAGTGTTGCGTTGATTATATTGGACATGGGTCATATTATTGAAGCTCTAAGTAGATATATTTGAGCAAGGAGCAATACGTTTAAAAAATAGTGGTCTTATATGGAACATAATGTCTGGCATACAAAAAATTGCATTGGTTATTTGCACTGTGAATTGCATGAGTTATCTCTGCTATTTTTCGTGTAAATATGGTGTTTAGATACTGAATTATCTTCCCACTCTTATTTTCAACCGACTTCAAAAACTGAGGAGGTTCTCAATACGACTGTAATTTTTGTTTGTTATCTCAGAACTTTCGACTGAGTGAATTTATTTATTTTTTTTGATTATTTTTTTTTATTCGTAAGCTGATGCTTCCCATGTAATCCCATATTAATATCCTTCGTATTGGATTTTGCGCTTAGGAGATACTTAGGGAACTCCTGTAAATCAATCAAATAATAAAATGAATTCAGAGCGATATATTTGAAGTCGAACCATAAAGTGATTGAGATCTATTTTGATATCTATCGAAGATCTGGTGGTTGGGACATACGTAAATAGCTATGCTTCAAGATCATATTTTGTTTGTTTACTTGACTACTAAACATTTCGATATGTAAAAGAATGTTAGATAATTATTTAGGTTAGTCGCAGCAAGCAATGTGGATTGAGCGACATATGTTTTATTTACAAAAATACATGCCATTAATTTATCGGTAAAACCTTTGTTAATAATGGATGATTAAATAAGCGAGAGTAATATAACATGATGATTAGCAAGACTGAAATTGTCCTTGAAACGATAATGGGGACAAAATGGTGTAATATTGATGGTCACATTGATGACACACATAAAACTCAGTCAGACTAAGTTTTTATTTTATTCTTGTACTATGACTATATTTTTAGTCTGAATGTTCAATGTTAATAGATCCAGTCGGAAGAAAGCTGAAAACCTGATTTGTTTGACGGTTACCAAGCGGGCGTTAAATATGTTCATAAATAAATTATTGTCATTATGCGAAGAAATATTTAAATATTTTATTAGCCTATTGATTCAGTTTAGTAGTCCATCATGATTTAGTATAAAGAAGTATTTGTAGTAGCGTCGTACGCTTACGAAAGAGAGTAGCCCTCGTTTTTGATTTCTAGCTTCCGAAGCGACTAGAAGGCACGGGGGTTCCGGACGGTCGAATTAAACCGCACAAAGTTATTTCGCGGTACAGACGGGGCCGGCTCGGCCGAGCGAATTTCCCTTCGTCCGACAGCTGGAAAGTGGGCCGGTGTCTTGTTTCCTTCGCAATGTGGTATATCTGCGCTCCGGTCGCTTCTAGCCCGTGCTAACCGTATACCAAACTACACCTGCCACAGTATAACCTATGTTAAAAATTAAAGACCTAGGTTAAACATTATAAAAATAGGCCAAGTGCGAGTCGGACTCGCGCACGAAATGTTCCGTACTATTATCTATAAAAACGGGAAAAAAATCGTGTCTGTTGTACGGGAGCCTTAATTAAATGTTTTTCTATTCCGTTTTTTAGTATTTTTTGTTATAGCGGCAACAGAAATACATCATCTGTGAAAATTTCAACTGATTTCCCGAGATACCGCCGGGTGACAGACGAACAAACCGTCAGTCAGACACAGAGAGCGGAGTCTTACCAATAGGGTCCAGTTTTGCCCTTTGGGACCGGAACCCTAAAAGTTTACATTGAAATTCTCTTCAAGTTACGTCGTCATTACGTCCCTTGTAATATATTAAAGTCAAGTTGTATTTTTTAAAATAATACACCACTTATATTTTGTAGCATTATTTCGGTCTTTTTGCATACCGCAAATGAGAAATCAAGAAGTATAGTAAGATAGTATGAAGTCTAGTATTGTTGTGTAACTTTTACCGCTGTGCATACACGAAAGTATCATTGGCGATGTACAGATAACTCGTACACAACGTTTGCAACTTTGCACTCACATCGCTGCAAACGGACACTATCTTATCGCGAATAATAATCATTATCCGCCTTATCTTCTCAACATACGTATGCGATGTCGAATGGCACGGGGAAATGGGCGAACAATAAATATAGGAAGAGTACTTTTTTTTTCTGTTTGGTGCAAGCGCTGAGAGCAGGTTTATTGACTTCGCATCGCGTGCCCGGTTTGTTTACCGCGGGGCGGGGCGGCATCGCGGACTGGTCGCGCCCGGTTCGGCCCGTGGCGCGGCCGGCAAGGTCGCGCGCGCGACTGCAAAAACAAGCAAACACGCCGCGGACATTCCACTCTAGTGATGCGGTGCTCTGAGCGCGATTCGACTCGGCTTTGCTTTTTTATCGCTTAAAAACTCCTTTCAGTTTTCCAGCCTGTCGTTCACCGATTACATTTGTGATTCGGGTTTTACTTTGTCTTCGGATTAAAACTAGGATTCGGTGTATTGAAAATTGTAATTTTCCATATTTAGTGATAGTCTCTGCACTAAAGATGAAGGTTAAATATACGTAGATAACAGTGTTGCATTTTTCGCCGCTGCCGGGATTCGAACCTGCGCTTTCCGGATAACGCGTCCAGACGCTCTAGCCACTAAGCTAAGCGGGCGAAATCCTCATAACGCGAAAATCTCGAAGTCTTATCAACTCTGGCGTTATCTGATGTTATTTCTTAACAGCAATCACACTTTGTTTTCTTGATTTTACGCGAATATTATACATATTAAATGAAACTACTTTACGGATTTTATCGCGTTTTTCGAACCCTTTCCAGCGTTCATGGTCACGGGACTGTCCCGTGATCTCGAACGCTGGAAAGGGTTCGAAACGTCGGGAATTTAAATCAAAATAAAAAACGCGATAAAATCCGTAAAGTAGTTTCATTTAATAAGCAATCACACTTTCAAATTACAAAAAAATATATTTGAAACTAGAGATGTCGCTTCTACTATTGAAATTTAATTTGTCAATTTTTTTTAATAATTTTTAACTAATAGTTTCAATAGCAATTAATGAGGATATTGACCGCTTAGGTTAGTGGCTAGAGCGAAGTCTGGCTGGATGCGTAATCCAGAAGGCGCGGATTAGAAACTTGGCAACGGCAAAAACCTTGCAAAAGCTTCATCTGTACATTTAAAATTTTTGCGTATTTATTAATACTAGTGGACGCCAAGTAGTCGAAATTCCACCATAATTTATTTAAATTATAAGTTTGAACAATATTAAACTATTCTCATAAACAATACATAATAAACAAAAGAATATACTTATATGCATTTGTGTGACAAATACATGGTGGTGTGCTTTTCTATATTGATTTTATGTATTTTTTGTATAATTTCAAAAATATGTTAACATTCTGCACTCCTTCTCTATATAAATTATAAGTGTGGAAAATTTCATACTCCTCCGTCCTCGCCAGTTCCATAATAAGGGGTACAAAGTTTATGCTTCACGTATTAATATACAAAAGATGCTAAGTGGACTTTTAAAATATATTCTTTGAGACTGCAAGCAAAGAAATTGTTTTAATGCCAGTTTAGTTAAATTAAGTCTTTGAGAGTGGCCATAATTAATAGTGTGTCCTGAGTCCACATTTTTGAGATTAATAATATAACTATTTCTGAGCTTCTTATGCACGCGTTACAACCAGATTATATGCATGCACAGTCTATACGCTAATAGTTTATTAAATATATCCAATCTCTATTATTATATATATCATATTTAAAAATGTATACAAAATGATTTTAGTCTGTTTTACATATTTTGTTATAGGCATAGGTTTTGATTAAAGTCCGCTGGTCGTGGATGGAGCTCATTTATCTCGTACTAGCTGCTGCCCGCGACTATGTCTGGGTAGAATAGGCTGAAGGCCGTAACATTCAGACAGAAAGACATATTTTATTCTGATGTATAAGCTATATTATTGCAAAGTTTCATTAAAATTAATTCAGTATTATTTGCGTGAAAGAGTAACAAACATCCATCCATACATGCAAACTTTCGCGTTTATAATATTAGTAAGGACAAAATGCGGACCATCTATAAGTATAGGGCCTTGCGGGTAAATTGAAAGGCGCAATGCTAGTACGCCATTTAATATTCAGAGGGCGTGCGGGCGTTTGAGCTAGGCGAATGTGGGCTGCGACACGGATCATCGCCCTCACAAATGTCCTCGTCGCCTACACAGCTTCAGCTTTTTTTTCTCCTTTTATGTGTAAAGTTGCTAAGCAGACGGTTCGTCTGATGTTCAATGAATACCGCCGCCAATGGAAAACTACATCTTTAAAAAAGTGGGCCCCGATTACCTCACTCATCAGACGAAATGAGAAAGTACTGCCGGTTCTTGCCGGTCTTCTGTGAGACAATTGTACTTTCCCATACAAGCCTGCCCATTCGTGCAACAACAGAAGCTGGTGTACCACAGTAAAGTTAATGAAAAATCCGAAAAATATCGCCGCCGACTGTATTAAAAAATAACCGCTTCCCATGAACATTTGCAAGACTCGTAAGGTTTTGCCACCATTTAATAAAGCGCTCCCCCGGAATACTTCACTCACCAGACAAAACGCAGAAGTATCACACCTCCACTTCACGCCCGTCTTCTGTGAGGCCGTGGTCCTTCCCCGGAAGAATCTGCCTCTTCGTGCAACAGCGAACTGTTGCGTGGCTTTTTTTTATGTGACAAAGTGGCAAACGAGAATGGGGTTCACCTGATGTTAAGTGATAACCGCCGCCCATGAACATTTGCAACATCCGTAGTAGGGTTTCAGAAGCGTAGCCACCTTAAAATAAAGTGGGCCCCGGCCACCTCACACACCAGACGAAACGCAGAAGTGTAACACTTTTACTTTACGCCGGTCTTCCGTGAGGTCGTGGTACTTACCCGGACGGACATGCCCATTCGTGCAACAGTGAATACCATTGTGTGGCCTCGCTACCACAGTTAAAACAGTTGGTTTATTTATCCGAAATGATTTTATCCCTAGCACACGTGGACAACGAGATGTACCTGTCGCGGGCGCTGGAGCGGCTCGGTGGCAACGCGCTCAGCAAGGACTCTGAGCCCGATATCGGCGCCGCTTTCTTCAAGTTCGCCGTCGTCACCAAGGAACTGTCGGCGCTCATGAAGACCTTGGTAAGATAACGGCCCTTCCACTCTGCTAGCACGGTCACTAACCGTCACACCAATCAGGTCTATTCAGCCAATTCCTGAAGTTTCCTTTCATGTTACGCCATCAAACACACCTTTCAAATAGTGAAAGACTTTCTTTACATACTCTATTCATACACTTACAAATCAAAATTCGCACTGTTTCTTTACACAATGTTAGTATAGAATCAAAATTCGCACTGTTTTTTTTACACAATGTTAGTATAGAATTATGAATATAAATATATATCTAGTACGGAGTTTGTTATAACATATTCATTAATTCAATACGCAAGTTTTACGAACTTGTTGGTATAACATCCAGTATGTGATCTCTTTGGTGTGTTTTATGTTTCGTATCTATTTTTTTATTTATCCTCGTATAACAAAAAGTTAAAACCTATCGCCCGCGCACTTTTAAATTTATCTGGACACTGAATTAGCCCTGTACATTCCGTACTTGATTGATGCAAAAAAATCGTAATAAGCTCAGTTATGCTCAATTTTTTCCGAACATAAGAAGCCTAGCTAGCTTAAACATAATTATGTCATGCATATAGTATGTATGACATATCTGTGAGATATAACGCAATATCGTTAATATATGTATAACATAATGTGAAACACAGTTTGTACATTTTGGAAATTCATTGCTGTTGGTAACCTTATTTAAGTGTTTATTCGCAAGTAATACCTAAGCGTACCTACATGAAATTTCCATTACCGCAAATGCTTTAAAAGTACAGCGGTTAGCCAGTTTGTTCTGCCGAGTTGCGCGGCCCAGTTTGTTGTTTGCACGAAACGGTAACTACTATGGCCGTTTGACGCCCGCGAAACGAAGAAGCACTTGGTAATGTTGCATCCGCGCTACGTTTAATTCAAATAATATTAGAACTCGTTTCTGCTGCGTTTGTTTGATATGACTGATTCGTAATATACACACGAGTCGTACACGGCGTTAATTGTTTCTTGTTTGTCTCGTGAATTTGTCACGTTTTAACTGTATTTAACTTTTATAATAAAATTTGTCGAAAGCAACTAAGTTTAAAAAGTTTTAATGGCCAGGACCTATTATATTATATTGGAAGTCGTTTGGCTGCTGCTAATTTTATACCTAAATTTTTATACTTTTGAAATATAGCTTTCACTCTGATCTGTGCGACTGCAGTCATCAAAGCAAAGCATTCGTTATAATTTACCGTTGATAGTTACCCCCTCATTGCCCTTGCTATTTTATTTTATTATTTTTTTTATGTGAAAAGTTGGCAAACGAGCAGGCGGTTCACTTAATGTTAAGGGAATACCGCCGCCCATAAACATCTGCTATACCCGAGGGTAACAGATGGGTTGACAACGATTTGAAAATTTGGCTCCGGCTACCTCACTTCCCAGTCTCCGGCTTCCTCACAGACGAAACGCAAAAAAAGTATTTGTCATACTTCCACTTTAGGCCGGTCTTCTGTGAGGTCATCGTACTTACCCGGACGAGCCTGCCCATTCGTGCAACAACCGAGGCTGCGTGGCCCTACCACAGTTAAAGTGTATAGTAAATAAAGTAGTTCAGTGCCATTATGTACAATAAATAATAATTCTCCGCTGTCACTAAGCAATCTTGTTTCGCTACGAACGGAAATCACTTTATTGAGGGATCCTCGGACGTCTCGATCCGTCGGCCGGGAATGGGATTTAGGTCCGTATCGTTCGGAAAGGGAGAGTTGGCAGTTCAATTCGATTTATTTCGAATATCATTATTTTAATGTAAAAATCTCCGTCAGTATTTCTCATCGGGCTGACGAGATTAAGCGATTACTTGTGTAAATGTAACTCGAGTCGGGACGTGCGTATAGAGCGGGCTCAATGACGTAAATTATTGTAAGGATTCGTTTATTCATTCAGCGTCTAATTCAGAAGCATACTTATGCTGTATCATTCTTGTTTAGCATTATATGCTTTTTTCCTTTTTGTACAGAATACTGCCAAAACCTTGGAATTGTAATTTGTATTTCTGCTTTGACTCGCTTTTTAGCCAATTAATAAATATGTAGGCGGCATAGGTCTTAAATTAATTTCATTTTATGAAGACAACCTATTTAAATATTCTCTAAATACCAAATAAAAAAAATCCGAATATAGCTTTTTATAATTGCAATTTTTAAATGGTCAGTCTCTATCCATTAATTAATTATTTAATCGTGCTATTCGCGAGTAACTGTTCCTATTTTTATGAAAAAAATCGAGGGAGGTTAGTTTACGGTTAATATAATATCCTCCTTAAAAAGTTCTCTTACTTGAACATTCAAATCGAAAAGGTTCTTAGTTTCCAATGTTATGGCTCTCGGAACATCGAGACCGCGAAAAGATCGTAAACACGTTAACCGTCTATTGAAACGGCGCAGATTGCGGTGCGTGGGCGCTGGCGAATTGTCTGGTCCGAAATAGGTCAGGGTAGCGGAGCTGGTGATGTGACCCGGTATTAATGTTACCGGCTCACGTATTGCCTTTGTTTAGCTTCATACTCTCTTCATACACTTTACTTAGAGTGGATGTTAGACAGTATACAGATCTTTTCCGTTTACAATTTGTCATACAATATAATTTGAGTATAGCTTGCGATTGTGTCAACGATTATGTGATAGACTGATTAACTAGTGACAATTTAACGGCAAACATTTCGTACGGAACTAAGTATCTCGGTACACGAAAATATTATCATGTGTTATGTATTTACGATGATGCGATTATTGTCCTTTATATTAACTTTTTTTTTTTATGTGTGAGAAGGGGGCAAGCGAACTGTACGGTTCACCTGATGATGAGTGATAGCCGCCGCCCACGGACTTTGGTAATACCCGTAGGGTTGCAGATGCCTTGTCACTTATATTAATTTTAACTGCCCACATTTTCCAAACTTTAAAGCATCAGGTGACGGGACAGTCTACAGCGACGTCTGTCCCCTGATGAAGGATGCTATAAACTATTCCAAAAAGTTCCGAGCATCGTCTTATCTAATCTCGCCATTCTGAACTCTAAATAATCAAATGCTGTTTTAACTTGTACTCTTTTAAACACGAAACATGCGGCCTTTTTTTAAACACGAAACATGCAGCCTTTTTTAAAGCACAAACATAGGTACACATAACAAGCCCAATGATCATGCTAATAGTGCCCAATTGTGTTTCATATGTAAATCCTCAGTGTCTCGGTTTTAAGACCAAGTGCAATATGTATTTTTGTTCGCTCGCATTGAAACCCTGTCAATAGCAAAACAAGAATGGAACATGTTGAACGTGAATAATGGAAAAAAATATTGTTTAAAAGCAGCGTTGGAAAAAAGCCAAGCCCATCGAGGTGTTTTTAATAAATGTTCTATATTTAGGATATTAATTCTCTGCCTTCTTCGGTCATTTTAATTTGTGAAATGGTAACATTTTTGTAACGAGTTATAACTCACGAAACAATGTAATACACATACATGTCAAAATTACAACTGAATTATTGGTCTATCTACTAAGCATAAAACATGTACGCGGTTAAAGATCGCCAGAAGGAGAACGGAAGATACCGATACAGCTGTGCGATTCAATGAAAAAAAGTTTCAATGATGATAAAATCTTGAGATAAACAACAAAAGTTCTTATTTGTTACACATAGCATTAATCACTAATTAAATGCCGCTCAATACTAAAAATATTAGTACAAACCACTTGTCACCGGTTCGGATGTGATTATATAACTCCTGTGACACATAATAATTTAATTCAATGGAAACCCTTTTCTATTGCATTCACACAACTATCTTATAAATTATAATACAATAAAAATGCTGCAGACGTTACCTTAGAAGACGAGGAAATTATTTCCCGATAAATGTACTTATATTGTAAATGCGAAGTCTGAATACAAATGAAATTCCAAAGCTTTGCCGCAACGGCGAAGCGATTTAAAGGAAAGCTAATATGGAGAAACTATCACGAAGAAGTCGAGGGCAAAGTTTATTAAAATAATTTAAAGTAATTTAAAATACCTTTCCTTTCCATTTCTCTAATTTGTCCGTTCATAATCAAACTGATAAGTTTAGGTATTATAAAAGCTTTTTTAAGCGGCAAATACACCCATGGCATGGCAGTTAATTTATTTTCCCAAACCCGACGAATTAACACTTCGTATGAAATTCCAATTAGGAAATTGCGTCTGCAGGTACTAGATAGTTTGTCTATCAATTAACTTCACTGGTAATATCTCGTTACTAAATTGGAATTATTACTGAATTTTTATTAAGGAAAATAAATATTTACGTGCAAATCACATATCTTCCATTTTTATAAAATTGTTAATGTATGGCGTTATAATATAATTCTTTATAAGAAACTTTTAAGCAAGGATTTTAAAGAAAGGATTTTTATGAAAACAAATTTTATTCGACTTATATATTTTTCGTCAATAGCGGCAAAGATAAACTTTAAAATGTGTTTGAACCATTAAATTTCATGAAGAATTGTGGGAGTTATGGCGTCTATTAGAAGATAATGGCGAATATTAGAAATAAAATGTGAATGATTTATAAATTTGTAATAACCCAGTCATATAAATATGGCATATTATGTAGGCTATACTTTTGAAATTACATGAATTTATAACTTTTGATATTATACGGTGTTGATGAGAGAGGTGAAGGCTTACAACAACATTTAGAATAGCCAGATTTCTCAATATTATTAACACCACTCATATAATACACATGTAGGTACATAGCTTGTGATAGATGCTGTTTAAATTTATTTTGTTATTGGTACTGTTTTCGTGCATCAGTCGATAAATAAAAAAATAACTATTGTATAAATCCTGTTATTTTATGTAACGTTTTATATATATAAAAAAAACTATACATTTATAACAAATGTTGTATCGAATAACATTTTAAAATATGAACTTGAATTCCTTCATCAAGAGGTGAAAAAAGTTTAGAAACATCAGCTAGAGTATAA